CATATCTAATTAGTGAATTAAAATCTAATTAGATACAAATATGTATCATTTCACATTTCAGAGGAACCATGCGCGTTTTCAAGCCTTGAATTGACGTTTAGCATCCAAACCGACACATTCCGCGATTGGTGAGTTCATACCCCTACCCCTTTTCGTGTTTTTCAATGTTTTTAGGAGGGGAATACAAGCAAAACTATAAATGTTTTCAAAAACCTAATACTGATGTAATTCTATAAATATCTGGTTATCCTTTAAATATCTTTACCCCTTATGTATTATGTTGAGCATAAGGAATGTTTTCTCAACTATAACTACGTGAATTTAAGTAAAGGAAACAATCAAACTAATTAAATTATTATGGGAATAATTTGGGATCTTTAGTTCATGTTTTACGAATATAGACTTACATAAGGTTAATAGATAAACTATGTCTAATTCAGTTTATCTCTGTTTAATTTAGATTATATTGCCAGATCATCTCATTGTATTAAACTGTTTGTATTGTATTATGTTTCTAAACGATTAGTATGTTTGATAACGTTCAAGAACACCGTGAATAGTATAATACTAGCTTGTGAGGTTCTTCATCATTATTAGTAAATCCTCCCCGGAAGTGTAACCAGAGTGTCCTGGAAGGAGAGCATGGAATTTGTGGATAGATCTATTCGGGACTGACAATCCCACACCTTAACTGCTAGCTACAGTTAGGCGGGCACGCTTGGGGTGACAAATTCTTGGATATAGTTTCGATGTCTGACAAACGTCAAGGAGGTCTCTTTGTTGTACCAGCATGGTTACCCGACTCACAATGCGTATTAATATAAGTTTATTCATGGATTAAATTTCATAACTACTTTCTATCTATAGTTCTTATATCTAGTACGTGATGATAATCCCATGGTTTTGAATCTATATTTAGTACGGGATGATAGTCCCATGGTTTTGAATCTATATCTAGTACGGATGATAGTCCTATGGTTTTAAATCTATATCTATCTATAGTTTTTTGTATATCAAACTATCTTATAACTGGTACGGGATAGTAATCCCATGACTTTTCAGTAAATAGATTCATATGTAAAACTATACAATATAATTCTTAACTAAAACTCTACTTTTAGGAAAATATAGGATTTTCCTGGGATACCAACTGCACATAACCAGAATCGTGTAATAAATCAGTTAACTAAACTTTACAAATAAGAAAATATTGGATTTTCTTGGATTCGTAACTTTTTCGGAAAACCAAAGGAAAACTTAAACAGTTTCAGATAAACAAACATCTTATGAACTCACCAGCTTTATGCTGATTTTCAAACTGCTTGTATTCTCGGGTCCGTGTTAGACAGGTACCCAACAATCCCTTTTGGAGAAGACGGAGCGTACAGAAGACTCGTCTTCACTCTTGTTCATATGTACATATCTATAACACTTGTAATACTTTACTTTTTGAAAAATGTAAATTCTAATTTGTAATGTAATGGTTGTTTACTTTGCTTACTATGTGCATTGGATTTGATACTCAACGTGGAGTCCGCCCCAGAAATGTTTCCGCCTTCAGTTTTCAGGGTGTGACAGATTGGTATCAGAGCCCTTGTTTATAGTGAATGGAGTATACCAAACCTTACATGGTATAAAACTATAAACACTAAGGGGCCTAAGTGCTCTGAACTAAAAGTATCCTTCAATGTATAAGTATTTTCAAAAGTATACAAGTATACCTAATCGTCAAGATCCGTAACTACAAGTAGAACAAAACATAAGTAAGGTGTTGTATGTTGTGGTTAAACCTGGGAAGTTATGTAGTCGTGTCTAGGATCAATATAGCCTGGCCAACTATATTCATTCGAGACATGGCCAACATGTGGTTGGGAGTGACTGTGGTGTGCGACATGCCTAAAACTTACCCTAATATCCCAAACATGGAACCGTGGTCGTAGCGAATCATGAAATACTATGGGAGTATTTCTCGAGCCAATCCTTGTTAGAAATCCTCAATCGAGCGTTGTTCCCTGATCATTTCTCTAGCGATAAATCATCTGTTTTGCTAACTCCTTCCTGTTTTATTGCTTATTCGGAATATATAACTGTCATGCCTCTTGATTAAATTCGGAGGACTTATCATTTTCTCTTTCCTGATCTTATTAGATCAAGATGCCTCCAAGAATTAGACCCAACTTAAAGACCAACAACAACCCTCCTCTGCCACCACCTTCTCTTCAAATCGATATGGTAACCCTTCAGACAATTTTTACTGCCGCAGTGATAGCAGCCATGTCACAAAGGAACTCCAGTAGTTCAGGAGGTGATCCCCAATCCCAGAACCTAGAAGATAGTCAAGGAAACCAAAAAGGGGGTTCTTATAAAGACTTCATGAACGCGAAACCCATATCCCACTACTAGAAAAACAGCCTTTTACGACGCTCATTGCGCGTCGTAAAAGGCTTAGACGACGCGCAAATGCGTGTCAAGGAAGGCCCTGTCATAAAGAGAGACGACGCGCTTTTGCGCGTCGTCTATAGATGACGCGCATTTACGATGCTCATTTACGACGCACAATTACGACGCTCGTTTACGACACGCAATGCGTATCAAGGAAGGCCCTGTCATAAAGGAAGATGACACGCATTCGCGTGTCGTAACCTTACGACACGCGTGTTAATGACACGCAATGCGTATCAAGAAAGCCCCTGTCAAGAAAGGCCATGTCATAAATGAAGATGACACACATTTTTGCGTATCGTAAATTTAAATATTTAAAAAGTATCTATTTATGTTTTTATGAATTTTTAAATTAAATTTGCATTTAATGTGTCATAATAGAAATAAAATACCATATACAAAAAAATACAATCCATTGCATAAAATTTAATGTCATACAATTCTATTTCTTACAATATAAAATTTTGCATCTATCTAATCTACTCTATGTTTCATACTAACACTTAAAATGAAGAATGCAACACTTGCATTTTCAGCATCTTATCTCTTTCAGCTTGAGCTTTCTTTTCCACTTCTAACTCCAAGGCTATTCGCTTTCATCAACCCTATAAATACAACTCAAAATCACTTGTCATTTTCATTCTACTTTTAAAATTAATTTTTATTAGGACATTCTACTTTTAAAAGCTCAAAACCATTACTTGTTTGTGCAGTTTAAGCTCCAACACGACTGTAAAAGCTCAAAACCATTACTTCTTTGGAGTATGTACAAACCATCACTTGTTTGTGCAGTTTAAGCTCCAACACGACTGCAAAAGCTCAATACCATTACTTTTTTGGAGTCTGTACAAACATAAATGTCATCAAACAAGTGAACATATCATGCAGAGAATAACAACGTACTTTCATAAATGTGCATCTTAAGAACAATGTCAGCCCTATTGCAATATTACCCTTGTGAGACAGCAGGGTCTTCTTCTATGATGACAAATTGTGTCCCAGTGGATATTCTTAAAGAAATGGTGCGTCTTTACCTTTTTTTTTATCATTAATAAGTCACACACATTATTTATCAATTAACTTCCTACCTCTTTGCCTTTTCTTTATATATATATATATATATATATATATATATATATATATATATATATATATATATATATATATAAAAAGGGAGAGAGAAAATGTTAACTGTATAGCTCCTATGGCACCAAGGCGTTGAGCTGGATTTCAGTCAGCAACCTGAAATTAAAATAAACATAAGCATAATTATAATTATGTATGAATATGTGATGATTGGATTGATTGATAAACAAGTAGAAACTTACTTATTAATCAGATCATATCATATCATACTATTATTAATTAATAGGAACATACAAAAGAATAAAAAAAAATACAAAATACTTACCACCGTGAAATTAATATCTTATTCTTAGGAAACTTATAGTTCCAATGAGAACTGATCCTCTTTTGGTTTCTCGAGTGAACAAAAGTGTACAACCTAGATACACGGAATATGTTATATACTTATTATACGTATGCATAAACATAAAAAGGGCAAAAGTGAAAAAATATAAATTTAAGTTTCACAGTATACCTGATGATTATGAACATATTCCAGAAAAGATGGAACATCTTGATAGCGGTTTTTTACAGTTCCGCCCTTGAGAGGTTTTTGGAAGCAGATAATGTCCCCATCTTCAAGCTATAAAACCAAAAATGTATTGATTAAATTAAATCAAGAATTTGTCATAAATATATGAAAAAAAAAAAAAAACTTGAAAATTTACTTAATCTATGCAGAATCACTTAATGGGTTAAGCCAAAATCACCCAGAGGCCTATATCCTGATTTTCTGGTAGCATCATTGACCACATTCGTCCCCACATCAATAACCACAACCCCACTTTTATCCAACTACCCTTTATATAATAATAAAACAATTCAACAAACCAAAGTGTAAACTAACCAACCTATAATCCAAATAAATAAAATCATTATAAGCAATGAATTAAGTATAAATGTAAACTGTATAAGTTTGGTTATGGTTACCATCATGGGTTGTCCAATAGCAGCAATAAAAATGTCTGCCTCATGAATCATACTTTCTAGATCCTCTGTACGCGGATGAACAACAGTAACTGTTACATCTTCCTTCAATAGAAGTATTGAAACTGGTAACCCAACAATGTTACTTCTACCAACAACTGCACATTTTCAGAAGTTCTATACATCCCTGTTTCAGAAAAAAAATCATTTATCTGTTTTGTTTATTATATTTATACCCTATCCTAAATGGTAAATAAAATAGGATTGATTGGCTTGCCTTTGGGGTGCAAGGAAGAAAAAGGGTTCTCTTCCTTTCATATTAAGTTTACTAATGTTTAGAGGTGAAACCCATCCACATGACATCCTTGTCACTGTTGATTTCTGTTAACACTTTTTCTTCACTTATTTGTTTTGGCAAAGGAAGATGACCAATATGCCTGGATGCTTATCAATGATGGTGACCTTATGATCTACGAGAAATGCCATATATACGACAACTTGAGATATCAAGGTTCCACTCGAACTGGCAAATCTGCCCTGAAAAATCCTTGATTAAACCATGATATGGTGTCTACCCCAAGAAATGGTCCCTGAATCTCCCCTTGAGGATCACGATAGTAAAGACTTAACTGCTCAGGCATGATGCCACTTGTTAACTGTTCACTTATATTATCCTGCATATTTCTTGTCCAATATTGCTCAGAAGATGGATTAATGCTTGCATACAATAAGTTCACATTAAACTGACCTCTTATGTTTCATCAGGCTTGGGTTCATGTTTGCATATCTAGTTGTCCCTATCAAATTCTTGTTCTCTCTGCAATTTGAAAGATATAAAATATAGATTGATTAGGGGTCACTTTTTTATGAATAAAAAATTGCTGCTGAAAGTTTTAAAAAAAATTCACTCACCTATATGGAATGTGCTGATGAGTTGAAGAGTCTCTATATTTCTTGGCTAGCCTGAAATCAATAGCATAGACCTGTAACGTGTAGGTTTATATATGTTTTATGTATAAAACTATAAAAAACAGAATCTACAATGGACATATGGAACAAATTATGGAATGAAACCTGATTAGCACGCCTCCCTAAACCAATAAGGAAGTTGTCTGGCTTTATATCCCTATGCAGAAATGATTTACAATGAATAAATTCAACTCGGTTGATCTGCAACATTTATAATTGCATAAAAAACTTTTCCACTTACCAAGAGAAGGTGACTTCAGTTCCACAAATCCTACAAGCTCCACACATGATTAAGCTACAAGCAGTTTGCCTTCCTCATACATGTGACTAATCTGCATAAAATTAAATAAAAATAAATAAATAAACAAAATGAAAAAACAATAAAACAATAAAATGAAATCTTTTTATCCTCACTTGCTCCCAACATTGGGGAAGCAACTTTGTTTCTGTTCGCATCTCACCAACATTCCTAGCAAGTGTGACACATACCTGAATTGAAAAGAATATGTTATATATAAGAATGTCTAGTAGACAAAAAGGGGTGTAATTAAGGTCACCTGTGAGGCCAAGTCTTCAAATAGCCAAAAAATGACAAGGAGGCACACATAGATACATACATACATGTATCTATATGCATACATACATGTATTTCTATCTATATATGTATGTATACATATGCATGTATGTATAGCTATATGTGTGTACAATTGCAAACTAAAAAACAATGGGAAAACCAAACAAGATACCATCTATGTACATGTATTATGTGTGTACATGTATTATCTGGCACTAACCATGGAAGTCCGGTCAAAGGTGGGTCAATAGAAACAAGATACCATCTGATGGCTTTTAGTTCAGACCAAAACTCGTCTCCTGGCATTTCATCGAACAGCTTGCCTACAGAATCTTCATGAAATGCATCAGAGAATTTGTTAGAAGGGAAGAACAAATTCTTATGTAGAAATTTTTCTAACTCAGGTATACGAGGATCATATAGCCTGTAAAAGATAAAAGATAAATCATCTTTACACTAGAATCAAACACTAAACGAACCTGGATGCAAAGTAGGAGAACACATACACATCCTCCTTGGTTTATCCAACTGCTTTTTTGACGCTTGATTACTATTATTACTCCTCGTAATTACAAAGATCGAACAACTCGGAGAAATTTGACGATTGTTGAGAGAAAATCGTATATTCGATGCCGATGGAGATGATCCGTATACGTTGACATGTGTAGGTGATGTAGATCTACTCTGAAAGAATGAGGACGGGCTCGACGAGAAGGTGGAGGTGAAGGAAGCATGGCGAGGTGTAGAATCTTCCTGAAGGAGAGTCAGCTCGGAGTACGGTACCGGTCTTCGGGTCGGATTTGCAATTAATTTACAGCTAAAGAAATTTGGTTTTTTTGAGAAGATAAGGAAGGGAGAAGTAGCCATGGTTATCTGATTGAGGGTTTTTGCGTTTTTTAATTGAGAGAAATAGTGTGAGGGCAGAGAGTAGGTGGAGACATTTTGCCGGTGGGAGATCGAAGATTTGGTGATGACTTAGGGTTTTTTTGGGTATTTGAGTAAGAGAGAGAAGAACGGTGGAAAGAAGGTAATAGCACGGCGGGCCTTTCAAACTTTTTAGAATTTCATTTCCCCCCAGAGAAGAGACCCCGCGTTTCATTAAGAAAATATAAAGCGACATGGTTACACGACGCCCATTTTATGTTATGTGCGCTCCGTGTTTTTTTTTTTCTTTCAATGTGACACTTATTTTAGGGCGCGCAAAAGTACGTGCCCTAAATCCTTCTAATTTTTGGAGAGATAACATTATTTTTAGGGCACACGCATTTACGTATCATAAAATAGCGCGTGTCATGGTTCGCGCGTCATTAAAGGGTATTTTTCTAGTAGTGTCCTTTGATGGTACTGGAGGTGTCATTTCCCTAACTCGATGGTTCGAGAAAATTGAATCTATTTTCGAAATATGTGCTTGCTCTGAGTCGGATAAAGTGAAATTCGCCGCTTGCACCTTCACCAATAAAGCCTTAACTTGGTGTAACGGCCGAGTCAAATCCTTAACTTTACCTGTATCTAATGCTATGGGTTGGGAGGCCATGAAGGATCTTCTCCTTGTAAACTACTGCCCACGGGGCGAGATGCAAAAGTTAGAACATGAACTATGGAATCTAAAGATGCAAGGTTCCGACATAGCCGCCTACACTTCGAGGTTTGACGACTTGCCGCTACTCTGCCTGGGAATGGTTACCGCGGAGAGTAAGAAGATATAGAGATTCATCTGGGGGTTGACCCAGCCAACAAAAGGAAATGTCTCAGCTGCGAGGCTGGATTCTTACGACATCACGAAATGCCTTGCGCAAATTATGATCGACCACAAAGATAACCCTATTGAGGAGGCCGCCACACATGAGCTAAGTAAGAGTAGTGGTGGAAGTAAAAAGAAATAATGGAACAAGTGGAAGGCCCAAAGTACACAGGGACCTTCTAAGAAACAGCAAACAATAGCAGTCCACACTGCTACTGTCCCTGCTGCCGGCACTGCCGTTGGATCTACAGCTCAGACTCCTACTACTGGATATACCGGTACCCTTCCTTGGTGCGACAAATGCAACTACCATCATCGTACTCCTGGACCATGCCACGAAGGACTCTACAACAACTGTGGCAAGAAGGGCCACCTTGCTCGAACCTGCAGAAAACCAGCCAAATCAACAAACCAATCATCCGGAGCAGGTGTTAGTTGGGCCTGCTACAGTTGCGGCGAAGTAGGGCATTTCAAGAGAAATTACCCTAAAGCAGCAGCAGTTGGCAATGCTGTAAGAGTCCTAGCTATAGGACAAGGTGAGGTAGCCGCCGATCCCACCGTTGCCACAGGTATATATATTCTTCCTCGACAGCCCTTATACCCACAATCCTTTTTGGTTATATGGTTGAAAGAAAATTTGTTATCCATTCAATCAAAACATCACCTTAATCGTAGTCCTCCATTAGTAACCGAAATGTCAACCGTCGAGGTGTCTAACAACGAGAAGGAGAACATTAGCGATATATTCGTGGGTTGAACTCTCACCCTAAGCAATCATTCTTTTCCTATCGATCTTATGTTGTTTTTGAAATTATGAACTTTGAAATATTCATTAGCATGGATTGATTGAGTCTCAGTCGTGCTGATACCCTTGTTCTGAAAAATATATCCATCTCAGCCTTCCCCCGGCCAAACTCTCAACATCGGAGATGATAAACTTAGTTCCAGCTGTTGTACCATATCGTATGTCAAAAGCTCGAAGGGCTTCCCAATAGAGTGTGCCATAATTTCCTAGCCTAATTTACCATTGAGAAACAGGAAGTGCATCCTTGAAGTCTACAATTTTCCTGGCGTCTTTTCCCGTAGAGCTTCCAGGAATTCCTCCCGAGTGTCGAGTCGAGTTTCGCATCGACCTAATTCCTGGAACTACCCTCGTAGTCAAAACCCCCATGTCGATTAGCGCTTGCAGTAATGCAGGAGTTAATTAGTCAGCTTGATGAGTTGACCATCAAAACTGATATCCTATTTCCTCAAATAGATGACCATTTCGATCCACCTCATAGAACCAACCACTTCTTAAAGATAAACCTTACGACAAGATACCATCAACTACGAGTCCACGAGAGTGATGTTCCTTAGACAGTATACTGAACTCAATACGGTCACTATAAGCTCGTAGTGATGCCCATCGATCAAACCACCTCCCTTGGTCATGTAGTAGACAATGAAGACATACATGTGGAATCCTCCTAAGATCAAAGTAACAGAGAATTAGTCGGCGCCGAAGATACCCACAAAAATCCGTTAATTCTTGGGTCTCGCTAACTACTATTACAGGTTCATCCAGAATTTTTCCTGAATCGCCAAAACCTTAACCATTCCGACATCGAAAGATGTACCCTCTTGTAGGAGGTCTTACTTTGGAAAGACATGGTACGCCTTGGAAAGCGCGGAGAACTTATCCTGTGGTACATTAGACCTTTCGAGATCCTCGTTAGTAATCTTGAAACTCCGACTACCTTCAGAACTTAGCTGCAACCATCCGGTATTCCATGACTTTATTCGTAAGAAATGCCTACTCGACGAAACCCTAGTAATCCCTTCAATGTGACGGCAACCAAAGAAAGTCGGAACCTCATGGAGAAATCAACCGAAACCATAGATCGAGAGATTAAACATACGAAACAAAACCATATCCCGATAACGAAGGTTCGCCGGAATGCCATACGAAGACACGAATTCATTAAGAGCGTAAAGATCCGATAAAATTGAAGTATCCGTATCTCTTTCGAAATCCTGGAGTTGCATTTAAATTTTGAATTTCGGGACGAAATTCCCTCTAACGGGGGGATAATGTGACAACCCGAAGTTTGTCCATCGCCGTAACCCATTCCGTCCATAAAATTCATCTCTTTCAAATTGTTTATGTTTAAGTTTTAAATTAAGTAATTATTTTTTAGATTTATATTATGACTTAATGGATGTCTAAACATGTTTAGAACTCATTTTAACACTCCATACTAGTAATCAGAAACATCTTAGTTTCAACCATATCGGGTTACAACATCTTAATCGAGTGTGACCAGAAGCCCCGTTTAACGTCGGTATCGGGCAGAATTCCACCGTGTCCTGAACTTAGGACCTATTTAAAGGAGATTAAGCTTCCATTTGAATCTTTTTCCCTCTCTCACTACTCTCTCTCTCTCTAACCTCTCTCCTAAAACCAAAGATCTAAGTCCAAAAACATTAAATTTAGGCTTCAAATCTTAAAGGTAACTTCCCTAACTTGTTGTTCAACCTCATTAGCCTTCAAATCCGAGTTTAATCTATGAAAAAGGACATCATTCATGATTTTACGGCCCTGGAGCATGCTTGGGCTGTAAACACATAAAAGTGGGTTTTTGAGCCTTAAAACCCCTCCAAACCAACTTTATGGCTTAGATATGACTTTATGGCTTACCAATTGAGAATTAGAACACCCTAAACAAGATTTTTTAGGAGTAAACATCAGTTTACTTCCCAAGAACACACTTGGGCCGTAAAATCATCATTCTTGAAGAGTAAACTCAAAAACAAGTGTTTAAAAGCCATTTAAACACACCTTTAGCCTTGGAATAAATCCTAGAACCAACCACAATCGATTTGAGGACCTTAAACATAATAAAAACCCTCCATTTGAGTGTTTACAGCCATGAACCCCCAATGATAGGTTCCAGGGCCGTAAACTCACCTAAGCTAGTCAAATGGTGCCCAAAATTCATCCTAAGGCTTGTAATAATTGTCTAAATCACATGTGATTGTCCTACCTACCAAAACACATAAGGATTGTTTGTGGGGGGGGTTTTACGACTGTAAACTCCTAGTTAACTGCTATAAACTCCATTAAATGGTCAATAGGTGGGTTAAATCCATTCATATGCCTTAGATGTGATCCTAGCTAATTTCCCCAAGTGATGTTTGACCATTTAGCACCTTAAAACCCATAAGGCCGAAAACTCCATAAGGAGTTTACTCTTGAAGAGTAAACACAATATCCAAGCCATATACGTCCCTAGATGTCAATCGGGTCGCTCCAAACACTTGATTTGTGGTGTTTTCGCATCCTAGAGTAAATAATGATATCTAGTTAGTGAATTAAAATCTAATTAGATACAAATGTGTATCATTTCACATTTCAAAGGAACCACGCACGTTTTCAAACCTTGAATTGACGTTTAGCATCCAAACCGACACATTCTGCGATTGGTGAGTTCATACCCCTACCCCTTTTCGTGTTTTTCAATGTTTTCAGGGGGGAATACAAGCAAAACTATAAATGTTTTCAAAAACCTAATACTGATGTAATTCTATAAATATCTGGTTATCCTTTAAATATCTTTACCCCTTATGTATTATGTTGAGCATAAGGAAATTTTTCTCAACTATAACTACGTGAATTTAAGTAAAGGAAACAATCAAACTGATTAAATTATTATGGGAATAATTTGGGATCTTTAGTTCATGTTTTACGAATATAGACTTACATAAGGTTAATAGATAAACTATGTCTAATTTAGTTTATCTCTGTTTAATTTAGATTATATTGCCAGATCATCTCATTGTATTAAACTGTTTGTATTGTATTATGTTTCTAAACGATTAGTATGTTTGATAACGTTCAAGAACACCGTGAATAGTATAATACTAGCTTGTGAGGTTCTTCATCATTATTAGTAAATCCTCCCCAGAAGTGTAACCAAAGTGTCCTGGAAGGAGAGCATGGAATTTGTGGATAGATCTATTCGGGACTGACAATCCCACACCTTAACTGCTAGCTACAGTTAGGCGGGCACGCTTGGGGTGACAAATTCTTGGATATAGTTTCGATGTCTGACAAACGTCAAGGAGGTCTCTTTGTTGTATCAGC